AGACAGATACTTGATAATCCTCAAACAAATAAATGATGAACTTAAATAAAAAATTTCCAAATTTCTTAAGTTAAAGTAGCTTAGAAATCATTTTATTTGTGACACTCCTCAGCCTTGTGTGATCATCTTTATGTTTATACAATGCTTCTGACTTTTTAAAATGCTTTCACAAGTATTAGCTCATTTCATCCCTAAACCCCTTTGAAGCAGTTAGGGTTCTATTACTCCCATTTGACAGATGGAGAAACTAGATCATATGGAGATTAAGTGATTTGCCAAAGACAAATAGCTCTTTGGTGATAGAGCTGGAGATAAAATCCAAGTTTTCTAATGCCTGGTCCAATTTGAAGATATCCCAAGAAAGCCAGAATAGAAATGCCAAGTCTAGGTCAAGGTTTTGTGGCATTTAGAAGCAGCAATATGGTGTAATGACTTTGGATTTTTAAAGGAATCCATGGATTTAAAAGGAAATTGAGAACCAGATCTCCACATGTTCCTTACACCCCTCTGGACATGAAGTCTTTAGGGACCTTCTTAGTCAAAAGTCACAAACATCAGAATCTATAGGGTAGATATCCTGAGTCTTCGTAGATCTTTATGTTACCAGATTGTTATAAAAATATCTAGAACCACTATTTTTGACTAACAGAAATAACTAAAATGCAAAGTTTGCGAAGTAATGCAATTTCCATTTCCCAGGAGTATACCACCACCCGCATTGGGTCCTCTCTATTCATTTGCACCTCTTCTCTCCCTGCTTCTTCTTCCATTGCCCTCAAATGTGCTTTTTTGTTTATAGCATTTTAAATACTGACAAAATCTCACCATTTTGATTAGACTGCATTTCCATGAACCCGGAGTCGTTCTTCAAGGCAGGGCCAGATAACCACTGGGCACTCTCTGGCTCACGGAGGGTCCCTCCTGGTCATTTCCTCGTGGTAAAATGGCCCTGGTGCTCTGCCCATTCTGGCCTGCCTGAGCACAGGCATATGACTTGTACAAGATCTCTTCTAAACTTCCAAAATTGAAAAAGATGAAAAGTTTGAGTCAGAGGTTATTAACTTCCTAGGTTTTGAGAATTGCTTCCGTGTTCTAGAAGATACTGCAATTTCTCTCTTTGTTATTCACAATTCTCCCCATTTTTCTGTAACTGGTATAAACTGTTCCCTAATACAAATACAGTCAATTTTCCTTAATTTTGTCGTTAGTCACTCAAGCTCCCACTTGACTTATTAGCAAGATGGTCTTTTCAGTTCCAGTACGTCAAATCACAGATTATCTAGTCAATCCCCCTGAGCTTTGGGAGATAAGAGCCATAAGTAGATCAGAGTTTTAGGTGTTAGCTCTCAAATTGCACATTTCTAATTCTTAATGCCAACTGAAGTCTAAACTTGTTCTTTCCCCTTATTTCATATCTTCTAAGTCCTTTTATGCTATTTTAAAATTCCCTGATTTCAGTTCTTGAGAGTTATTTTCCAGCCAGCTAGCATCAGTCATTCATCTTGAAGAGCCTCTTTCCCACTAGCTTGAATGTTCCCATCCCTGCTGTCTGGTTTCCAAAATCAAATTCTAAGGCATCTGAATTAGCATCCAAAACATCCCAATATGTGAGCCTTACAGTCTCTAGAGCCAGGTCTTTCCTGCAGTAAACTGGAAACACTCATAAAATCACACTTAGAGGAAAAATACAAATCAAAAAAGCTGAACTTACACCCAGATTGTAGGACAGTTTGCTGATGTGTCTATTTTAACTTACTAATAATTTTCATTTAATTACCTTGAGAAGCAGTAGAGCATAGCAGAAAAGTGCAGGGACATCATATAAAATTGACTAGAGTTCAAATTCTGGCTGTTTGAACCCCACCATTAATGCTTACTAATTCTCTGAACTTGGATAGTTTTATTAACTACCAAATGGAAAGTAGATAATAACACATACCCCCACAAGGCTGTATACAGAATAAATATGATTACATATATAGAATGCCTAGTACGGTGCCTGGCAAAAATTGTGTGATTACTTAATATTATTTAATATCATTACTCTCAGATATTTTTATAGATTTATTGTTTCTATTTCTTTACTCATTTTACTATATTCATTCCCTTTCTATCAGAATAAAAAACATATTTTTACTTTTGAGGATGTTAATATTACTAATTATATTTTAGAAAACTTTATAAAGTCCAGGTTGAGCTTTTAGAGTCAATCATTAGACTCTAATGTTAATGGTTAGACATTAAAGTAAGTCTAACTGGTTTTTTCCTCAGAAAAACTAAGATGTTTTTCCTTAGAATTATTTTGTATACATGCAAATGTATTCCTTGCATTATTTGAAAATGACCACGTTTTGCAAGGCAAAGTGTTTCACTGTCATATACTACTGTAACATAGGAAGACTTCAGCGTATATTCTCCCAAGCTTGATGAGGAAAGCATACTCAAGACATTTAGTTTAGTGCCTCATTAAGTCTTTCAGATTACCTCTGACTGTTTTCCAAAAGTAATTTTTCTTTAAAATCTAACCAGCCCCTTTCCTTCTCTCACCCTGCTTTCCTCTGGTTTTGCTGTACTCTCAGGCGAGCCCTGCCCTGGCAGTGGCAAGATCACTGCCAGCAAGTCAAGGAGGAGCCCCTTCTAGTTCCAAGTTCAGTAGAAACGCAAGCACACCCCTTCCTGTGATGCTTAAGTTATTATAATTGAGGAAAGGAGAATAGATGTCAAGTAAGCAGAACCACAGAAGGCCCCCGGATGCCTCATCAAAAAGTCTCATAAGCCTATGTAAAGGCAGAAAGGGACCTGGGTTTGGGGGAAGTCAGTTTTCAGTGCTTCAAATCCAAGACTCAGCATTCCCCAAACCATCTCAATAACTTCTCACTTGTTGGCCTTAAATCATTCTCCCAAGGTAATGCCTCCTGCTTGTCAAAATCCTTTCCATGAAAGGATAAGTCACAGATGACTAATAAATATTTTTCTCTCTATTTGGACTGTTTATTAATATTGACTCACAAAGGTATATTCTCTTTGGGTAGAGTTTTTAAATCATTTATGAATCTACTGAATCATATTATTTATGAATTAAAATAACTGGGTACCATTTTCATCTGTCACATTCACTAGAATTTTTCATACTTATTCTATGATGAAAGAGGCATGTCAAATTGGTAAGTAATAGCTTATCAGACAAATGGTGAAGAACATTTGCTAAATGATTTAGGAACAACAACAATTATAAAATTAGATCTCTATCTCACAACAAACTCCAAAATAAATTACTAATAGTTTTAAAGAGTTAAATGGAAAAAAAAAATGAAGCCACAGTGAAGTAGGAGAAAATATACTGTTTATGATTATCTGTTCTCAAATTAAGGAAGGCCTTCCTAAAGATAAGATAGTGACAGAAATTATACATGAAAGGATTGACTAATTGGATTAGAGGAAAAGTCTGATATATCAAAAAATTTTGATTTTAGTTAGGACAAAACAAACTGGACTCAACATTTCTAATATAAATATCTCGAGTTGGAATTTTTTATTCATGAAATTTATAGGGGAACTAATTCTGTCTACCTCCACCTCCAAAAGTAGCTGCAAAGGAGGAAGTATTCTTATGGGAGCTGTATCTGGCCGAGAGGGCCTTGAGTCTGCAGTGCAGAGCCTGAGAAGTCTTTAAAACTCCAGGAAGAAGAGGAACACTGCGGTGAGGTCAGAGAATGAAGAGAGAAGACAATACTGTCAGCAATTACTTAAGTGAAGAGCTTTGGCAACGGGGAGAAATATCTAAAAAGAAATTAGGAATTTGCTTATGGCATATACTATGTAAAACCTTGGTATTACCCTTGTAAGGAAATTTATAGTGAAGTGCAGTATTTTCTTTTGAAGTTTTTAGAGAGAGGTTTGTTTGCTATGGTATATTTTTTAATGTATGGACAGGGAAAAGCAGGATTCAAAGCCGCCTACTTACGTCCAGTTGGTCCAGTTAAGAAACAAAAAGATTAATACCTTTAATAAAAAGATTTTAGAAACCAATAAGAAAAGGAAAATGCTATTTTTGAAATAGGCAAAGTATTTGAATAGATAATACTATTAAAAGGAAAATGGTTATAAACATTAAAAAATTACATTTGTGCTCAAAGGCAGGTAAAATTAAAACGAAATATTTGTCAAGACATTATCGTCTTTTCCTCCCAGAAAATCACCCCAAAATGAGAAAGAAATTTGAATTCCATTTTTGGGGAAACAAGGCAAGCTGCATAATTCCAAAACCCAAGATATGGCATCAAAAATCAAATGGAGGAATGACTGAGAGGGAGAGGATCAAGCAAAGAGGGAAGATACAGAGACAAGTGATTCTAGTCACTATTTAGCAGATAATACCTAGGAATCTTTTAGGTACCAGCAATGATATGCTGATAAATGTTTAACAACCAGGAAAAGCTCTGTGTGTCTGTGTGTGTGTATGTGTGTTATGCATGTATACATACGTGTAATATATTTTATTGATATAAAGGATGAATAAGGCCTGGCATAGTGGCTCATACCTGTAATCCCAACATTTGGGGAGGTCACAGCAGGAGGGTGGCTTGCACCCAGGAGTTCAAAACCAGCCTGGGCAACATAGCAAGACCTCATCCCTACAGAAAGTATAACATTTTTTTAAAAATGTATATGGGTGTTACGGTGCATGCATGTAGTCCCAGCTACTCAAGCAGCTGAAACAGGAAGATCCTGAAACCCCAGGAGTTTGAGGCTACAGTGAACCATGATGGAACCACTGCATTCCAGCCTGCACAGCAGAGCAGGACCCTGTCTCAGAAAAGATATACAGTATACAACATGGTAATAATAATAAAATCAACATACTCTTTATTGGAAATTCCATACAGCCAATTGTTAATTTTTGCCAAATTCTTGAATTTGTAGCCAACTATAGTTGCAATCAATAATCTTGTTTTTGAAGATTTTTCTTAATTCATGGTATTGTTTGCTTTGCTTCTTAGGTACTAGCAAAAACCAGATGCCTTATTCAACAACTTCCCCGCCACCACCTCCACCAGCCCATCCGGCGAGCCAACCACCATTGCCAGCATCTCACCCAACACAACCACCAGCCCCAAGCCTACCTCCCAGAAACATTAAACCTCCATTTGACCTAAAGTAAGCAAAAGATTCTCTTGCCATTTCTTTCCCAGTCTCTTGCCATAGATTTTCAAACTATGCTTAGTTGAATGCTGAGGGTTCCATGGGAAGCTTCTGGGTCTACAAAAGTGGGCAGCTGGCAGAGAGAAGAGCTGGCCAAGCTGGCAGTGCTCATACCCCTAGAATCTTATTTATCTGTTTTATGTTGGGTTTCCCCTTAAGCATTTATTTGAAGAAAATTTCCACTGTTTTTAAAAGTTCTAAAGCTTTCTTGAGAACCACCAGCTCCTCCGCTATCACAATCACCACCACCTCATCTTTACTGACTGCCTGTGATGTGCTAGGCATTTTACATATATCGTCTCTATAACCTCATTGATTAGGTAGTATCATCATTATTTCAGATGAGGAAATGGAACTTTAGCTCTGCAAAGAAGCCAAGTAACTTCTCCAAGATCACAAAATAGTGTAGAATAAAAATTTCAATGAATGTTAGTCTGAATCCAGAGTAAATGTGCTTTAAACCACTATGCTAAATAACCTCCTTTAATTAAAAATATATATATATACAGATTTTCTCTCATCCCTCAGAATTTTTGGCTAGGTGTTTAGGAAACTTTTATTCAAGCCTACTCTTGCTTAAATGTTCTTAGATGGTATTTTTCAGAAATCTCAGCACTGTGTGGGTTGCTATACATGGGCTTTTTATCTAGGATTTAATAGAATAGTTGGTAAAGGAAAAAGCCAGTGGCACATTGGAATAAAATGAAATGTCATTGTAAGAATAATATTCAGACAATGGCAAGCATAAATCCTTAAGACAAAATGGACTAGATATTTCCTTTCTTCTTGTGGAAAATTGCTTTATGCGATTCTCTTTTATCACAAATAATATCTCAATATATTTAGTACAATTTGGTTTTTCTTCACTTAAATTCCCCTACCAGATTGATGTTCCTTACAACAAAAGTACTTAATATCCATAATCCGTGTAATGGAAACTGTTAATAACAATATTGGATAGACAGATTCCCTGAAATGCTTGATGACTACAATTTAGGGAAAAGATGAAAAACATATTTGTCATGGAAAACCACCACTACTTTTTTTTTTTTTACTTTAATATGCTTTCTTGGGGGTTTAAGGATAGTAAGTAGAGGGTGTTAGAGCAGCTTCATGGCTATTATCTTATATATGGCCTGCTTTGTGCATTTATATTGACAGCACACCCTTCTAAGCATTTGAATTTATGGATGTCAATTTAAAGCCTCTAATGCTCCATGATATCCAGCTTTTTTTTTCAAAAGGGAAAATGTGTGTAGTGAATGACTTTCACGCTCTCATCATAAAGCTCATGTAAATTCCACAATGAAGCAATATCTGGGTTAGAAAATTTTCCCCATGTAGAGGAAGCTAGAAATGCATAGAGGAAATGAAAGCAAAATGGGTCTTGATGTTCCGGCTCAAAAGGTCACATTTCACACGAAGGGACAATGTATGGAGTAGTCCGTAAGAAGACTTGTGAAAAATACAGGTGTTTCTGTGCTGCTCACAGCACCAGTCCTCAAAACATACACCTGAGTATTTGCCAAACATTCCCTCTGCCGACCTGCAAGCGTTCCTCCTGTTTCTGATCAAATACCACTCTTAGGTCAAGATCTAATAGATTTCCTTTACAGTCACGCAACAAATATTTTTTGAGCCACTGTATTGTGGCTTTGTAATACAAGTTCAGGAAATATTACTAAACAAATAAAGACCCCTGCAAAGCAGGGGCCAAGACACTAAATAAATGAAAATAATAAACAGGGCTGGGCACAGTGGCTCCTGCCTGTAATCCCAGCACTTTGGAAGACCAAAGTGGGAGGATCACTTGAGCTCAGGAGTTTGGGAGCGGCCTGGGCAACACAGTGAGAACCTGTCTCTACTACCCATTTAAAATTAGCAGGGCATGATGGTGATGACTGTAGACCTGGATATTCCGGAGGCTGAGGCAGGAGAATTGCTTGAGCTCAGGAAGGCAATGCTGCTTTGAGCTGTAATTGTGCCACTGCACTCCAGCCTGGGTGACAGAACAAGACCCTGTCTCAAAAATAAATAAGTAAATAAATAATAAACAGGTAAAGTATATGGTATTAGCACTTGATGCTTCCTGACGTATTTCCTAGAAGGAAAATGGAGCTGAGTTAGGTACTGGAGGTGGAGTATGAGGGTGAGGTTGGGGATAGCATGTTGCTGCTTGAGAGAGGTGAGAGTAGCTCCCTTATATTTAATTGCAGTTTTTGCCATTACTTTCAATGGCAAAAAAATGCAATTACTTTCGCACCAACCTAATAGAAAGTGATACTTGAGCAAAGATTCAAAAGAAGTAAGGGAGTTAGACATGAAGGAAGACTGTTCTAGGCAGAGAGAGCAAGGGAAGGAACAGTAGGGAGAGTCATCTCATGTAGGGGCCTGTAAGCCATGGTAGGATTGCAGTGCTTATCCTAAGTGAAATGGAATCCACTCAAAGAGTCAGAGCAGAGCAGTGACATTTTCTGACTTGTACTTTGTAAAAATCACCTTAATGGTTATGCTGAGAAGAGGCAGTACATAGACAATTCTCAAAGCAGGGAAACCAGTAGTCAGATGTTATGGAAATGCAGGGAAGATACGGAGTAGCACTGCTCAGGATGGGAACAGTGTGGGCGGTGAGAAGTGTGCCTATACTAGGTGTATTTTGAAGGAAAAGACAACAGAATTTGGATTTAGAGTATGAAGGAAAATAGGGATCTAGAATGGGTGGCTCCAGTGTTTTTCACTCAAGCAAATGTAAGGATCATGTTTCCATCAGCCCAAGCACCACCATGGGGAGGCTGAAGATGTCAAAGGCTGAAGATGTTAAAATTACCACAAATCTAAAGATCTCAAGTGTTTTTATTTGCACATCTAGAATTGGGCAACACTTCGTTTCATAAAATATAGTAAGAGTTCCAATGAGTGAAGCAGAGGAGGCTGGCTTTATAAACAAAAAGAACTGAAGAAGCAGAAACAAAGAACAAAAAGCAGATTGGTCATTTCAAAGTGACTTTCCTTATAAGGCAGGTACAGGGAGCCAGCACAATAGAAAGATAATGGAAGTTAACATCAGCTGACTTCAGGTCACTCTTTGTTGTAAAGATTAAAACAAAACTTATTGTGACAGAAGATGAAAATTGGCCTCTTTGGGCAACTAGGCCATTCTCTGTCTCTCCTGATTTCCCAAAAGGCCAGATGACAACTCAGTTTCAGTTTGGTGAGTGTGGGTGATTCCATTTTGATTTTCAGTCTGGTCTTCTGGGGCCCAGTATGGGAATTTAGTCCAAAAAAAATGGCCTCCTAGATTTTGTTTAACAAAGGTGACCAAGTTTTGTTTAATAAGGATGCGGTCATGTCTATGTTAAGTTTGAGGTATCTTTTAAGCAACCAATTGAGTAAGAAATGGAGAGTCTGGGAGATAATTCTGGGTTTAAAATATAGACAAGAAAAATAGGAACCTATTTCACACTGAAAGTCATGGGGCTGGTTAAGATGACCAAGGAAGGGACTATAAACAGAGAAGAAAAGAACTGAGCTCTGGGGTACTGTAACTCTCTGAGGCCTGGGAGAGGAGAAGGGGCAAAGGAGAATTAAAGGAGCAACTAATAAAGCTAGAGTCTTGGAAGCCCAGGAAAGGAAGCATCCAAGGAGAAGTCAATGAGCAATGGTGTCCGGTGCTGGTGGAGGCCAGAAAGTGAGGACTGTGGAGGTCAGTGCAGGGGACGTTGTCAGGAGTGATGGGGAAACAAGCCTGACTGAAACGGCTTGAAAAGAGAATGAAAGAAGGGGAATTGCTCAGAGCAAATATAAACAACTCCTTTGCAAAGAAAGGGAAAGCAAAGAAATGGGACTGTAACTGAAGGGAGAAATGAGATCAAAAGCCTTTTTAAAGATGGAAATAACAGCATGTCTGTAAGCTGACGGGAAAGATCCAGTCAAGAGGGAAAAAGGATCAGGTAAGGGAGAGGGGAGAATTGGAGGAGCCCAGCATTAGAGCGGAGGGGAAGAATGGCTTCCCTAAGCTTTACAGTTCTCCCGAGGTATAGACTGGAATCTCTAATTGGGATCAAGGAAGGAATTTCAGAAGACAGGGTAGTCTTTAACATCTGCAGCCTGATCTGCCTACTCCTAAAGCTGTCCCCAGAAGTAACTTGAAATCATATCATTCAGGCCAGGATGTCTTATGAGTGTAAAAGACTTGAGAAAGGCGAGAATTAGAAATCCTAAATAACTTTGAAAATAAAGTAGTCGAGGCCAAAGTTATATTGTATTTTAAATTGTATTGTTTCCCCACCTAGTGGTCAGAAATTAGTTTGTTACATTTTCTGCTATTTTTACTCAGGCATTTGAAGAGGAAATGAAATGGGTCAAAAGAGTATGTTTATCATTATAAATGTTCAAATCAACATCTTTTAGTGTAATACATGTTTTTTGTTTGTTTGTTTGTTTGTTTGTTTGTTTGTTTGTTTTTTGAGAGAGAGAGAGAGTCTTGCTCTGTTGTCCAGGCTGGAGTGCAGTGGCACCATCTTGGCTCACTGCAACCTCTGCCTCCCAGGTTCAAGTGCTTCTCCTTTCTCAGCCTTCCGAGTTCAAGCGATTCTCCTGCCTCAGCCTCCCAAGTAGCCGGGATTACAGGTGCCTGCTGCCACACCCAGCTAATTTTTGTAGTCTTAGTAGAGACGGGGTTTCTCCATGTTGGCCAGGCTAGTCTCGAACTCCTGATCTCAGGTGATCCACCCGCCTCAGCCTCCCAAAGTGCTGAGATTACACGTGTGAGCCACTGTGCCCAGCCATTGTAATACATTTATTGGTATCTTTTCAAATTATAATTTTAACATCATAATTAATTTTTCATATGAAAACAGAATCAATGGTTGAGTATTTTGGCATATCAAACAAATTACATGGTTATTAATAGTAATGAGACAGAAAAAGTGAAGTAATAAAAAATAATAATAATG